CCTTACGTCGTCCCGCCTTACGTCGTCGGCCTTACGTCGTCCCGCCTTACGTCGTCGGCCTTACGTCGTCCCGCCTTACGCCTCCCGACAGTCGCGTCCCCAATGTTAAAGCCGCAACTTGACGACATGCGTCGGTGGAGGGTGGAGGGGGGAGGAGGGTGTCCCTCCTGCGTTGGAGAAGTGTAACCTTCAGTGCGTATCGTTCTCGACATTTCGTTAACCAGTCGAGCTTGCCTGCCATGTCTTTAACTTTAAGCCTTCCAAGCTCTCCAGAGTCTGTTGCCGCTCGTATCTTGTCGACATCGTTCACAAAATATGTGAAATCGCCTCGGCCTTTAGCATCGAACCTCGCAGAGGCTTTTTATCGGATGTGGCTTGGGAGTCCGGAAGTGTTCTATCAAACGGTTTGACTCGTTGACCGAATGCTGTCGCGACTTCCCGCAAGTGATCCATTTTTATGCCACACTGCGTCCATGTAGCCAAGTAAGGGAAACTCTCTGACTCAACGGAGAAACGTCTCTACGTTTCGCAAGTAGTGCACGCAACGCTACTGAAGCGTCGGCCGGTGATAATCCGTACCGCGAGAATTCGTGAATCCGAAGGTGATAGATATTCTTTGCTGCCTCTAAATTGGTGAACAGCTCTTGGATACAAAACTGGAACTTGACACCCCACCTCAGTTCGTTAGGTTTCAAGTATCCCGTGGAGCTCTCATTCGAGTCTGCCACTCTCTTACCACATATTAGGCACTCTCTTACCATTTTCGCAACGTCCTCTGCAAGTCCGGGCCAGTAGAACATGCTGGCCACTCTCTTCCGCGTCTTGAGTACAACCGCGTCTCCACTGGCGCCATAGTGGAAGTTCACTTTCGCTCAGTCGCTCCGGGACGTACACCTTGCCAGTCATGGCCTGCTGCCACCACTTGCCATCCCCCTTCACTCCAGGCACTCCTTGCGGCTCCAGCTGCCGGTACTCTCTCATAAAGTCCTCTTCCGACACCCCCAACAGTTGGCCCACGTGGCCTATCACTCTACCGCTCAAAGCCATTGCCTCGATCTCTGCGTCGCACTCTTCATCTGCGCTGCGTACCGCGACACGCGACAACCAGTCCGCCATGTTATTCTTCTCTCCCGACAGGAACTCTAAGGCGAAGTTGACTCTGCTGGGCGCCAGCGCCCAGCGGAACACCTTCCCTTTGTCTACTCCCACAAGGTAGCGTAGGTTGGCTCGATCTGTGCGTACGATAAAATGATGGAGCGCTACGTAGTCGCACCACCTCTCTACAGCCCACTTGACGGCGAAGAGCTCTCTCTCTCGTATCCCACTTTCTCTCCGTGTCGGTGAACTTCTTAGACGCGAACTCTAACGGGACCTCTCTACCCTCTTGCACCTGCTTCAACACCGCGCCAATGCTAACCTCCGAGGCATCTGTTCCGATGATGAGCGGCGCTCCTGGAACTGGCTTGTGGAGCAACGACGCACCGGCTACCACCTGCTTCAGCTTCACGAATGCCTCTCCTCGAGCATCCGGACGAACAACCTGCCCTTCTTGAGCAACTCGAACAGTGGGGCAGTGTACTCGGCGAATCGCGGGATGAAGGGTCGTAGATACCCAACGGCTCCCAGGAAGCTCTGCAGTTCCTTCCTTGAGGCGGGGGCGGGGGCATTGAGAACGTTGCCTATCTTCCTCTCCTGGTGCTATCCCTTGCCGCACAATCTTGTGACCGAGGTACTTTACTTCGGTCTTAAGCCACTCGCTCTTATCTAGCCTGAGGTAGAAGCCTCTCTCTCCGCGCAGTCGCAAGACCTTCTCCAACCGCTGCATCATTTCCGGCACCGTGTCCGTCTTCCATGATGATATCATCAATGTAACACAGAGTGCGGTGGTCCAACACCTCCTCAAACAAATGTCCATCGCGCGCTGGAACTCCGCCGGCGAGTTCTTAATCCCGAAGGGGATGACAATGAACTCGAACAGCCCAAACGGTGTGATGAACGCGGTGA